AGCAGCCACTGCATACCACTGCTGCATTAACGAGGGCGAACCTTGTAGCGCAAAGTCGTAGGAGGTGAGAAGATAATCGTCTTGAAGCACCAAGCGGGATTTCACTCTCGATGCGAAGCCGGCAGATGCTCACGCTGCTGCAAGTGCTCATGCACGCATGCCACAATCTTCAAAACCGTGGAGCGGTGCTGGACATGCCACTATGCCGACTCTTGCAAGGAATGGTGGCGGCAGACCTTTCCAAGGCAACGACAACATGCTTTGAAGCCTGCATGTCTCAGAAAGAACTCGGGCTCATTTCATGACATCGGGTGTCAACACACCAGGGAAACGGAAGGAGGCCGCACCATTGCAGGAAGATGCTGTCGTGCACTGAGGCTGGAGCTTGGTCGGTTCTCCGTACACGACTTAGCGGAGTTCAAGACAGGAGCGCGATGGCGCCCTGTCACTTCAGCCACAGTCACAACCATGCAGCCAGCGGCGCCGCGAATCCAGTAACCGCAAAACGAGAAAGTCCACAACCCCAAGCTTCCTGAACCTCCAATCCTCACGTCAGGGAGCTGGAAGTCTGCCCCTTCACAGCACTCCGGTGATCCGAACCTGTCTCGTCTCCCGAAATGTGTCAAGCCTCAAGCCGCGGACTCCAAACTCCTAAAGGCTGGAAGGTTGAGAAAGTTCTGTCTGTCTTTGGGGGCTTCCAAGCATGGCTTCAGATCCGCAGAGCAGAAAGCTCTCCAGCTTACACAAGCTATGACAAGACCACAGCACCAAGGCAGCACGAGCAGCCCTGCTAGGCCACCGGACACATATCCCAGTCTCGGTTTGGTTGAAGTGGTCAGGCCAGTAGATGCGACGTGAATATCGTTTGCTTGGACCTTCAGAAATTTTTGCATCGAGCCGTCAGCATATCGGGATAGGACCAGGGACCTGGACTGGGCACAACACCAATATCCTCATGCAAAATGAATAACTTGAGGTAGTCGAGCGTCTTCGCACCTTTGGCGCTTCAAGCTCAAGGCCACTCGAGGTCTAAAGAGCAGAAGCAGGCATCCTGCAAGCCAGCTCTGCGTCGCCGCCAGGGCTCGTAGATGTCAAGACACAGCTCGAACACTCTTTCAACGTGCAAAGTCCGTTGCAATTCCGCCTGTGAATGCCAGTGAGCTTACCTACCACGCTGCCTGCTATGCCTACAGAGCAAAGGCAGTGACAAACTTTTCGGGCATCCCGCCTTAAACGTCTTGTCTGGCTACAATGCCCCATCCCAACGGTTGGGCTCGTGTCGATCCGTGCGAGCCCTGCAGTGGCGATCCGACAACCGCGTTGTGAGTGACTCTCGATCGTCAAGCTTCCTTGGTCTGGCTGGTTGCTGGATAACGGTGGACGGACGGAGGAACCAGGAGAAGCTCTTCAGCTTGTCAAGGGCTGGACAGCATGGCCAACCGTGCCACACTGACCGCGTTGTTACAACCCGGCTTGTGTGGGCGAATGCTCACAATATCCATGTTAATTTATCCATGCAAGGAATGAGATGACTCTCCTGCCACGGCCGATGCATCGCGAGGAGGACAGTTGCGTCTTTGGGGAAATAATGCCAAGCCTGGAAGGGGACCTCCACGAGGACCAAGGAATCACTGCGTGTTGTCTTCTTGATATGTTGGTATGCCCAGTGGGAGACGCCCCGCCTGCAATCAGGCACCATAAAGCAGCCTGCAGCCTGATTGCCCTGGTGCTTCAGAGTACACTACATCCGCAGCCCAAGGGATCTCTTGCAACTTGCAAGGCGGAGGCTCGCAAATCAATGAAGCCACCCACCCTCTGAGCAACGAAAGACAGGCGATTGCTTGAAGTTCCTATTTCTAAGCACATGTCACAACTCAATTCCACACTGAAACTAGCCTCGGCAATTCTAGAGCTATGCTGATGTACATCAAGCAACATCATAATTCTCATGTGGGTTGTCGTCGCCATCGGCTCTACTTGAGGTGTCCAAACTTGCATGCTTATGTGACTGGAAGCAAACAGATTTACACGGGAAAGAAGGCGCTCGGCAAATCTTCTGCACTCTCGTGCCACGCACAATCATGCTAGCAGTTGCCTCATGGTCGAACGTTCCAGTTCACAGCTGAGCGCCAGCCTGCGAACGGGTCGTCTAGCTCCACCCCCTCTGTGACATTTCGCGGTGTCGCAGCCTATTTGCTGGACTTGGGCCATGGCGTGCAAGGCAAGCTGTTTTACGAAGAGTCTCGGATCTTTAATGCCAGCTCTGTCATAGCGAAGCATGGCGAACGAAGTTGAGAGCAAGTCCTCATCAACGCTCAAGTATTCAAGGTGTCAATGTGAAAGGCTTGTCGAAGGCTTTTCGTTCAGAACCATTCCGGGTCCAACGCTCATTGCCGACGGCAGACGAGGTACTTCAGAAGGTGGTTCGTTCCGGGGCTCGGGGTCAGGAAGTCAAACAGGAGCGTCGATGTTGCTTGCGCTTCGCGACACTGGGAGGGTCGCGAGCCGCAGCCTAGGGCACCCTGAACTCAGCTACCTTAACCCCAGGACTCGAAGCGGTACAGCTTACATCATTACATCCTCTTGGCTCAGACTATACTTAATCGTCCAGAAAGCCGCACATGGATCAAAAACGGAGAAAGATCTCGTCCGACTGTGCAGCATCGATGCGATGCGATGTGATGCAGCTCCTTACAACACGCCTCATGCCTCATGCACCTCCTCAGAATGCCAAAATTCTCCGGCAGGGCAAAGGCGGGGCAAGAAGTACACAGCTCCGGAACTGACAGTTCTGTCAATGCTCCTCCTGAAGGTCGTGAGAGGTGCTGTGAGGGCAGCATCGTGGAAGTAAGCCGAAGCTTGCAAGGTAACGTGCGGCGTGTTGCACGGCGTGTCGCAGCAGACTTGGCGGGCTTGACTGATCATGTCAGGCGTGACATGTACAGGCACCCATGGCAAAACAGTTCCTAAGCAGATGTGTTGTATGTGTCGACCGGCAAGATCTGCAAAGTCTCAGCCTGATTTGTCTGAGCACCGGTGCAGCGAATGTTAGAATTGATGCGCGCGTGCACGGTGTCCTCAGCATGCAGCCAAAGCGATTGTGACAACGCTCAAAGTTGCGGCAGTCCGACCCGTTCATCAGAATTCTTTGCACACTTGTTGGTGCTATGTCTTATGTTTGCCCAAGACTGATGTTCGTAACGTGGCTTCTGGCAGATGGCACAAGCTGGAATAATTGATGGTGAGCAGCGGCGAGCGATGTGTAGAATGGAATGTTGCCACAGCGCACTTGCGCATCTTCTGCTGCGTGCTCCGCTGTTGCTGAACCGGCTACGCGATCTGACTTCAACCACCGTTACTAAGCGGTCATGAAGCGTCGGCTTCACGGCATCATCGTCTTCGTACCGCGCCAAGGCAGGCGGGAACGCTCAAGTTAGCCCGAACCTGCGTCCGTCGGGGTCGCGGAAGTCGGAAGCTTTCCGGAAAGACGAAGGCATCATAATGCAGCAATGGGCCTCCGATATCCCTGTGCACATGTTTGGAAGCAGCTGCCGAAAAACTACGATTGGCCAATTTTCCCAAGAGACCGCTGGCACATACACATACACTCGCACTAAGCGGAGCAATGCCGACTTCAGTTCGCCCATGCTTGCCCTCCGCTTTTTGGCACTCACAAGCGACGGGGTCAGGCGAGGTTCCGTGACTTTAGCAAGCACGGCTCCTTACATCCGGTATTGACATGGACATGTTTGCATAGCGACTTTTTTGGTATCTCCATTCCAGCACCCTGTCAAGAACGAAGCGTGCCATGCTGCATCACTCTCAATTCAACTGCAATTGCCTCTTGCAGAGTGTGTGAATACGTGAATCTGTGACTGCGGACGAAACCTGCATGGACTGTCTATGCCAACGAGATCCGTGCCAGCGCTGGATTAACATAGTGTCCACACGAAAATCCGTTCCTGCATGCTTTGCCGCTTTCGGCGACTCGTGGGTTGGTTCGGCTGCGAAGCCTAGCAAGCTTCCAAGATGCTCGTGGGCATCACATGAGGCTTTCTTCTTCAACGAGCAATGTAAGCTCGAGGCTAAGCTAAGCAAACGACACTGGCACCCTCCATTGCATGTGCGGGCAACTTCTAGGACACCACAAACGATGAGAATGCGCTGAAGATGGCATGTGCATCTGGTGACCTTTCACCAGCAGCAGGAAAGTAGGTAGTCCGAAAACTCCCTCAAGCCGTCGATCGCAGATACTCTGCAGCAAGGCGTAGTGTTTCAATGGCCAAGACGTCGCCATGGCTTTCGACAGTAGGAACGAAAGGCTTGTGCTTCAGTACGTCTCCTGTGTTACCCCTGTACGCCGAGTGAAAAAACGGTAAAAACAAACACCTCAAACAAACACCTCCCCTGCAGCAAACTTTACCCCCTTTCGCTGAAAAGGCTTTGGCAATCTTTGGCACCAATTTCTCTCTCAGAGCCGGGGGTTGGCGAGGCGGCGTTTTGGAGAAGCTCAAGGAGACAAGAGACCCTAAGGCTCGCCGGTCGCCAGAGCCGCACTTTTTGGGCTGCTGTCTGCTGTGAACATGCAGCATGCGACATATTGCGATCAGCACATGGTTCAGATAGATGTCATGTACTTGTCCAGTATGTCAGATTCCACTTCTGGCTGAAGTCGCACTGCCACTTCCTTCGTTAACGACTTTGGCGACTCCGGAGAGACTCGGACTCGTGAAGTTTGGCGAGTGAGATCTCGCCGCCGGCATCTCTTCATAGTACGAGTGCCTTCGACTAATAGATCTCCTAAAAGTACGGAATTGAACGTCGAAGTCTTACTTACCAACAATGTTCGAAGAATGGATGCCGGCCTGGTGTGCAGCACAGTAGCTGGCATTTTGCCGGCTGTGATGCATCAGCGCCGAGTGCACTGAAAGAGGCCTCATCAGACGCAGTCGCTGAACAGGTGGAACCGGTCTGCATTGCAACATTCAGAGGGAAAGCGCCTATCGAGTTGCGACTTGCTCCTGTAATCTGTCGATCAGCACCTGATCGCAGGAAAGCCACACGACACAAGGCTTCGGTATTACCGGGTTCGACATCTGCCCGCTTTTGAGGTGGCAGGAGTTCTGGAACTGGAGCTCTGTGTCTACCAGATGCTTCGACTAAGTGCTCGGCCTGCTTCTCAGACAAGCTGAGCCGCGCCTTGTCGCGTCAATAGCTGTAGCATGAAACGGCATGCACAGCACTGCAAAATGGAAAGAGCAGCTCTTGGAGAGGCAGATACGGGCAGCATCGGGCACAGGCAAAGACCACGCTATACCACGCTCACCTCTCCCTGTCACTGTCCTTTCCGACCCCACATTCCCACCTATGCCCTCTGACGAAAGCGTCAGAGTATTGATTGGAAACTACTGCAAGAATACTGCAAGCCTTCCTTCGCCACAACTAGCTGTACAGAACGAGACGCGTGTGCTAAGCACCAGGCTGCAGTTGCCAAGAGCATTTCGACCTCGTTCTGAACAGAGAAGACACAGTGTCTAACAGCGAGTACCATCTTCGTGCCCCGCAGTGACTGGAGTTTGGCAGAAAGTGCGTATGTGCACGTATGTGCAAAGAAACCTCAACAGCGGAGAATCGGAGACGTCCGTGAGGAACCACACACTGCAAATGCGAGGCTACGTGACGACTCAGGCAGGGGCATGACGAATTGACAATCAAAGCGGTCCATCATGCCACCATGCCCAGGAATGAGGTTGTTGAAATCCTGGTAGCATGAGAATCAGGACGAGTCAAAGGATTTGCTATCCCGGACAGCCTTGATGCCATAAGCACGCTTAATGGCAGAGGAGAGGAAACCCCCGAATGGAGCAGCAAAGGATGCGAAGAATCCAAGACCTGTCGAAGGAAAGCTGCTTGCATGCACGGATGACATGAAGTGAGCTGGCTGAGGTCCACTCTCAAAGCATGGATCTGCGCCTCGGTGCTGCGCAAGTGCGTTGGGCACTGTGTAAAGGTAACAATGCTCAGCGTATCTCAGCGTCTACACGAGCTACCACTCAGGCTTCCGCCCGGCAAATCTCGAGCTGGCCAACTGCATTCAAGGCCGGAATCGACCTCGAACTGAAAACCAAGCGCCCCGCCAGGTTCAACCCGAGCAGACCGCAAAGTCGCAGACCCTGCCAGCACTCGCCAAGAGGCTCTCATCCCACCTGGCGACGCAGAGTGTGCATGCATGGCAACTGGTATGTTCCGGTTCCAAGTCTCGGCCGGCTGGACTGGGAAGCGCATCGACGATAATGCTGTCGATGCTTTGCGGTCTGCCCAAATTGCCAATGCAGACTAGCCAAGAGCACGCAGTCCTTTGCTCGAAACTGTCAAGCGTATGCCAATAGTAGCCCGCCCCAGAAAATCAGACTATGAAGCTTCGTGTGAAAGTTGTCTGAGCATGTATTTCCAGAAATGCATTGCGTGCTCGCAGAGCCTGTACATTTGCCCAGGTTCGCAAGACAGCGCATGGACCTGAAAATTGCCACAGATGCTGTGAGCAGCATCGTCTGCACAACACTTGATCGAAGAGCTGGGAACCTGGCCGATAATGTTATCTCTTCTGGCACCTCGGATGGCACTCATCAGGGTGTAGCTCTTTGCTTTGATGGTGTGGAGCTCCGGGTCATATGTGATACTTGCCATGACATGCCATAGCTGAGTCTACCGGAGCAGATGGCTTTCTAGCGATTCAATCGGTCCGACTATCGGCTTCACTCATGCGATCGATTTCAGACGAACATACCGTACAGAAGTGGGCCACAGTGGGTTCATGTGGGTTCAAATCCCACCCGGCTATGTGGAGCAATTCCGGCTAGTTCTGCAGCAGTTTCAGGTCAATCAAAGGTGCACAGCACTGCAATCATGTTAGCCGCGTCCAGTGGCTTTTGCTACAGGTTGCATTCTTTCTTACTTGCTAGGGGTTGGGGGTCTACGCACCCCTGGCCCGAAGGCCAGCCCCTTGCGGCGCACACTTGTCTGTGTGTCGGATTGGCTCCTTCCGGGGTGACGCCTCGTTCCCTGCCTGTGACCATTGCAGCCCCCCCCCCCCCAAAGAACACATTCCTAAGACCTGACCATGGAAAACCCCTTTGGTCACAGTCAAGTCATCCGATAGCGTGCGACTGGGGCTGCCACTTCTGTCAACTGCGAAAAAAGTTAGCAGACCCGGACGGAAGTAACTGCTGGCACAAATGACTTCTGGCTGCCCCCTTCTGAAACTGCTGGCGCATTACCAGTCTACCCCCACCTATATCCACCTGAGCCCGAACAGAACCTCCCCGCTCAAAGGAACGTCCACCCAATGGAGTCGCTGGGAACAACCAGCGACCCCAGAGGGCCGTCCTTGAGCACCCCCGAAGGGATCGGCGGGTTGACTTGAGCCAAAATGGCTACTCTCTCTCTCTCTCTCTCTTTCGACAGGGCGGGGGACGGGGGAAGCTCCCCCGCCCGAGGGGGAAATTCCCCCACCCGCGCACGCGTCGGCGCCCCCGCCTGTTGCGGAGGGGAGAGCGAAGCACTCACACGCCATCAAGGCAATTTTCACCATTCGTTTAAAGCAAGCACAAACAAGGGAACAAGCCCCGAAACAACAACCTTTTAGAAAAGGTACACATACTTGTGCAAAATGGGAAATGCCTGGCATGCCCTGAGGAAAGAGCGATTCCTCTTCCCTTTTGACTTTCGATTTGAGGAAGCTGAAAACAAGGCTCGACTATGGGCGACCGCTACAGCTGGCCTGGCTCTTTGCTTTGGCGGGCATCACGAGGGCAGCAACAAAACAACACATAACTACAGAAAAACGAGCAGTGCATGAACGAGTATTTGCCACGCCTTTTACTAGAGTTTGCTCATGGGCTTTCTGCTTCTGGGGTAGCCCCCAACTTTAGCAGTACAGCACTAGCTAGCGAGTGAGTAGTGTCACATTTCATGAAGTCAGAAAGCGTCAACCTGTTTGGTGGGGCTGTTCCCCAGGCCGCGGTACTAAGGCTTTTAGCTTTCACTGGACTCACATGTGTTTGCCAGCGCTGCAGCCAGTCGGCGTCGACGGTGTGACGGCGCTTTGAGGTCACCAGAGGTCTGACCCCTAGCCGTAGGTGCTGTCAGAAGGTGTGGCACGGGTTCAGCAGGGGGTGGCGTTGACGGCGGCGAAGGGGACTCCCGTAAGGTGGCTGCCAGGCCACTCGTTCTCAGGACTATCCAGAAGTTGTATGGAGTGGCCCCACAATGCTGTTGTCCACTGCGCCAGGTTGGCGTGGGCTTCATTGGGACTGGTTGCTAACTCTTGCTCGATGAAAGGCATAACCTTTTGTAGTATTTCTTGTGCTCGCAAGATTTGGTAGGGTGTGGCCTCCCCTGTCGTCGGAGCTCCTTGCAGTGCACGTACTGGGGGATCGCTGCCGGCAGATTCTCCAGGTACAGGAGGATGCGGTCGTGGTAGAGCTGGAGCGGCGTCATGTCGACCTGCTGGGATTGTAACGAAGTTCGGGGCCTGCTTGCTCCCCGCTCTCTCTCTTCTTCCTTCCTTCGGGTTTGAGGGGAGTGCGAGTCCCCTCGGCCCTCTGGGCCCCCCAATGTTTGTGGGGCTTTGGAGGCAGTTCGGGCAACAGCGGAAACAGCTACACACTCTCTCTCTCTCTCTCTCTCTCTATATATATATATATACCAGGTGCGGAGAGCAGGGGCAAGTCCGTCCCCCACCCTCCGCGTGCGAGCGCGCACCTGCAGTCCTCAGGTGTCTGACTTTCCCCCCGCTACTGTGTAACGATTGGCTCGGCTGTACTGAGAAACGTCTGCTGTCCCCACTGCCTGTTCTCTCCCTCTCTCTCTCTTTCTTTCGCCAGGGCTGTGGGCTAGGGGTTGCCCCCCTAGCCTCTTGCTTGCTTGCTTGCTCTCCCGAGCATAGGGGCCGGTCAAAGCCCCCGGGCAAAAATGCCCACCCGATGTTGTTAATCGGGGGAAGGGGAGTGAGGAACGAGCATAGATTTGCCAATGAAAGAAATCTCATAGTGCCCCCCTGGCCTCTCTCTCTCTCTCTCTCTCTCTCTCTCTCTATACTGGGCGTGAAGAAGGCAGCAGCTCTCTCTCTCTCTGCCGTTCCATCGTCAAGGGTCTCGCTATGCAAGGGCACGCAACGGCAGGCCAGAACATCACGAGGCACTGCGCGAACGCTGTTGGGCAAATGTCAAAAGCAATTCGTAGGTGCACGTTCACTGCACGAACACTTTAAATTCCGTTGGCGTTATCTCATGCTGCGACTCATGGATAATACTCCGAGCAAGCCTGCGATGACTTCACTCCAAACTGGGTTCCTGACACAAGTCATCCATTTGTAGGCGCACAACTTCCTGCCCGTCTCCGTGCTAAACAACTCCGGGACCAGAGCTTGTGCAATCCTCTACTTGCACTCACCCTGCACCTAAGTGCGGCATACCCATGAACACTGTACATCATGGTCACCTGACCAATTACTTGAGGGACGTGGGAAGCCGGAAGGGTTGGAATGTGCAGTGCAAAGTCCTGGAGAACCATAGCGCGAAAAGCATAGTGCAAACCTCGACCGGGTGCAGTCTGCGAGTTGACCACAGCTCCGTCAGACACAAGTGGCTGACTTGGCCCTGGGCAGCACTTCCTAGAAATCCTTCCCAAGTTTTGTTTGGAGACCTGGGCCGGAGGTACATGCATATGACCCCTCATTGGGAAACTCAAGGGGTTGGAGGCCTCAGCTTTGCCAGCTCTCTCTCGCACGAATGTTCAATCGGGACGATGGAGATTTTGTTGCCCCAGTGACATGTCTGCACATGCTTTATACTAACTACGCAACAAGATGTGCAAGGAGCGTTGTAAGACTGGGCTACTGAAAGTTTCCAGATCATGCTCGAGCCACCAGCCTATGGGAGCTCTGGATGTTTTGGACGGAGTCACGACTTGATCGACCCGCATCTCCACCGTAAAGCGTGGAAAAAGCGATTGGCATTTGAGAGCTGTGCAGTTCCAAGAACCTTCTCCGGATGAGCTTCTTTCCAAACAGCCTTGGTCATGCCCCACCGTGATGCTGTCGACGAAAGCGTTGGAACAAGCATGCCCGAGTTGCTGCCCGCAGTAGTATGCCATGATGTCATTACCTCGGTCGTGCGGCAATTTGTCGCGACTCCCCATGTCACAGCAACATGGAAGCTGAGGACCAAAGCATATCACGAGTGACGAAGGAAGAACAAACCAAAAGAGTCCAGCGTAAATCAAATGGAACACCTGCAGCTTCAGGTCTGACGGAGCGTCTGTTGCCCAAGCAGAGGCTCATGACTTCCATCTGCGACGGATGGCTGTGTTCCGCTTGAGGCTGGTGCAGCTTGAGTCTGAAATACAACTATGCCTCAGCGCGTCGCTTTGCATTAAATTCCTGTTCTGCACAGAGCAGCTGAGCTAAGGGCATATGGTGACCATGGTCCAAGTGTACTGTGTAATTTGGTACCTGCAGGATTGCGTCTTCAAGCTTCCGCGCTCTGGTAGAACGACTAGTGACTTGCGATGCTGAGAGCGACGCTTGTAAAGCCCCTTGCGAAGGCTCAGAACGGAGACCATAAGGAGGAGGGTGTACAGTGAGAATGAAACCTGCGAGAGAAACAAGTTGCATGTCGCACTTGGGAGCGTGCTTGCAGCTGCTTCCATTTGCTGACTATGGCAATTACCAGCATGTTGTTCTCCAGGACCAGCCTCGCCTTGGGAGACGAGATGGGACAAGCACTTTCTACGGAATTTTCTGGGTATGCTGCACTCGTTGAAAAAACAGGATAATATGGGGATATAGGGTCTCGATTCACTTAGCAAGCTTTCCTGCCATTTTGTCTGCCCTTCTCCCTCCTATTGCTTGAGCAGGCCTTGGACGTCCCATCCTGCATTTTCGAAGGTTTCTGTCCACGATACCGGCAATATCCACACAAGTTCTTGCCACGCCGGCTTGGCAGACTTCCTGTTCTGGGCGCAAGGAGCATCCGACAATCTGATCTGTGGAGTGAGTGAGTGCTGCAGAATCCGGAAACCTTACGTTCGTAACGAACGGAGTGGCTCGTCTGGTTTCAGGCCCGAAACCGCAGAAGGCGTGATCGGGAAAATTTCCTTGGTCGATTCGCACCTTTAGGATCGACGTGCGCCCACCACCACCACCACCCACCACCACCACCACCCGGCCGCCGCCGCCGCCGCCACCCCCACCCCCCAGCACCAGCACCGCACCAGCCGCAGCAGCAGCAGCAGCAGCAGCAACAGCACAGCAACAGCAACAGCAACAGCAACAGCAACAGCAACAGCAACAGCAACAGCAACAGCAACAGCAACAGCAACAGCAACAGCAACAGCAACAGCACAGCAGCAGC